CACGAAGTCTTGACAATCGCACACGGGCTATGGCGATGCTACCACTAATGCTGATAGATCCCGGAAAGCCGAAGGAAGGATGTTCGTGCCAGCGATGTGTTGTGGGTACCCGGTACAGTATTATGGGCGGGTTTGGATGCGACGGCTGACAAAGTCCTCCCTCTTTTAATCGGCGAAAAGACGAACCCTTGGAACTGTCATTGAAATTTTCAATACGTCGCTCTATTATATTTTGGTGAAATTTAATTCGCAACTAATTTTCGGTAGATTCGACAAACGACGTGTCAAATCCAGTGTCAAATCTACCAGAAATTGTCGACGTCGATTTGTTTTACTTGAACTAGCAGTAAAGATACTCACAGTGAATACTAGTACAATGATGCCACAGCAAAATCGCATCAACAAACACTGTGATGCAGAGTCTTTGGCGAATGTAACATATGTATAGTATCGGATCACATCTGATAGCGACCATCCGCTTCTCCTTTACGGTCGGGTGGCGTCGAGCATTTTTGGTAACTGTAGCAGCAAGCGATGTTATCTCTTTCATAAGATGCATGGCAATGCACCGGATACATCTGCAATTTGATTAGTCATAAGGTTCTAATTCGATTATTCCATTGGCTGTACTTCGGTCTTCGTCGATTCGATTGGCAGGCCCAGTTTATTGTGAAATCGAATTAATGCTTCTGGTAAGGTTCAGGAAATAGATCCACCCCGAAAGTCGTTCCTCGCTAAGAGCATCTCCACCGCGGTTTTGGGAGGTCTGGCAAAACACACTGCCAGCAAAAGTTCTGCCCAAATTTGAAGTCTTTTTTCTAACGTTATACTACGGTTTCGATTTGATTTGGTCGAGTTCTGCAAAAATAACACTTCGATGGTGCAAGCATTTGTCCCAGAAATATGAGAAATATCCAGGAGAAGTTGTACAATTGGCTGACGCACGTGGAGTATAGATATAGATGTGTTGTGTGATGGAGATGATCTAAGCCTCCGTATTATAATCACCTATATGGTCTATAGCATCCCTTTTCAGGTTAAAAAACGCTTCGTGAATTATATTTCTACACTACCCCTTGGATTTTAAAATTTCTTCCGCGTTGCTGAGCAATAGCCCTTCAAAGTTTGGACCAAAGTGGTCCCAAATACACCTGTTTGTTACCTACTGTAGATGCCATAGCGCATCTAGGTGCGCGGGCACACTTTAGTTTTGAAACAGTACTACCAACATGTCGGAGAACTCGTCGCTGCTCCGCCACACCCAAGAAGCCCCCGTGGCCAACTCGCGACCTTGGTGGTTGAAGTACGCCCTTGCTGGCGGCGCAGTGGTAGTGATTGGCGGCGTTGTGTGGATTACCACCGCCCAAGGCGAGCCAGTGGTTGCGACCGGCACGCAAAGCCATTTGGGTCCGACGGTCCATGTCACGACGACGGGCGTCCCCGTGACCACCATCACCACCACATCTGCCCCAGAAACCACAAAGGTGGCGATTACGACCACGTCGGCGCCCGTGACCACCACGGCTACACCTGTGACCACAACCACGGCCGTCCTACCTACGACTAATGCACCCGTGACCGCCTCGGCTACACCAGTGACCACAACCACGGCCGTCCCACCTACGACTAATGCAACCATTGTCCGCAATGCTACTAACGCAACTGTAGTTAGCACATCGACCACCAACAACACGATTGTGGCCCCGTACCCAGCCCAGTTTGCTGCGTTCTTCAAGGACTTCGAAGCCAAGTTGGACCGATCGGTGGACCCGTGCGATGACTTTTACCAGTACGCGTGCGGCGGGTGGCTGAACGCCACGACGTTGAAGCCGTCCGACACGACCGTGGACTCGTCTTTCTACGTGATCGGCGAACACAACGACCGTATCCTCAAGAACATCCTGGCCACCAAGCCGCCGGTCATCGATCCGTTCTACCGGTCCTGTCTGACCGAAGGCAGCGTGAACGCAGACGCAGTCGTGGACGTGAGTGTCCGTCTGAATCACATCGCGACCATCCAGTCGCTGGACGAACTGCTAGCGTTTGCTGGTATCCTCAACACTGAGTCGTCTGTGTCGTCCTTCTTGGAGGTGGGCGTGACCACAGACCCGAAGAATAAGACTCTGAACGTCGTGGAAATCGCCCAAGGCGGACTCACGCTGCCGTCCGTCGAGTACTATGCAGCCGATAAGCTGGTTCCGTACGTGGCATCCCTTCAAACGTACTTGGAGACTTTGGCTACCGTCGACGCGTTCACCGGTGTGACGGCCAAGGCGGTGTTGGACTTGGAAGCGCAGCTGGCCAAGATCTCGTTGCCCTGGGCCGAGCAACGGGACCCATGGGCAACGTACCACATGTATGACATAGGCGACGTAACGGCTAAGTACCCGCTGATCGCAACCTTCCTCAGCGGCGCGCAGCCTGCCCTGGTCAACCATCCAAATGTTTCGGTGCTCGTGCCAACCCCCACGTACTTTGACTCGTTGGCAGCGCTGCTGCAAGCAACCGACCTCGGACTGCTTAAGGTGTACCTGAGCTTCCGATTGGTCCACACTGCCAGCCCGTACCTGGGCGAAACGTTCCGCCAGGCGAATCACGACTTTAACGGCGTGCTGCAAGGCCAGGTGTCAACCCAAACCCGCGCCGACTACTGCTTGGACTTAACAAAGACGCTGCTGGGGGAATACTTGGGCAAGTTGTTCATGAACAAGGTGTTCGACGGGCCTACCAAAGTGCAGGCGCAGGAGCTGATCCGTCAGATCGAAGCCTCGATGGTGGACGTATTGAACGACGCGACATGGTTGGACGGGTCCACGCGCCAAGTGGGTCTGGAGAAAGTGGCCCAAATCCGCAACTTTGTCGGGGGTCCCGACAAAATCTCCCCCCTTCCGTTTAACCTCACGAGCAACTTCTACGCGAACGTTCAGTTGTTTGGCGACTGGGAGACGAGCAAGACCTGGTCGTCGCTCCATAAACCCGTGGACCCGACCGCGTGGGACATGTTTGCGTTCACGGTGAACGCGGAGTACGACCCCACGGCCAACAAAATCGTGTTCCCCGCGGCGATCCTGCAGCCCCCGTTCTACAACGTGCGGTCGTTCCCCGCTGTTGCCAACTACGCGCGCATTGGGCTGGTCATGGGGCACGAACTGGTGCATGGTTTTGATGACCAAGGGCGTAACTTCGACGCCCACGGCCAGCTCAACGCGTCGTGGTCGGACGCTGCCTCAGCGACCTTTGACAAAAACGCCAAGTGTTTGGCCGACCAGTACTCGACCTTCCCCATCGTGTCAGTGGATGGCCACACCGTTCTCGGTCACTTGAACGGCCAGCTCACGGTGGGCGAAAACATCGCCGACAACGGCGGCCTCAAGCTGGCCTATTTGGCCTACCAGCGCGCCAAGAAGGCCAACAAGGCGATCGCAGAAGACCTCGGCACCGACGACGCCAAGCTCTTCTATACCGCGTTCGCCCAAGGGTGGTGCCAGAAACGATCGGATGGGAACGCGATTCTGCGCAAAAACACCGACACCCACTCCCCCGGCAAGTGGCGCGTGCATGGCCCCCTGTACAACTCGCAAACGTTTGCGGATGCGTTCCAGTGCCCCACTGGATCCCCCATGAACCCCCCCAAGAAGTGTGTGATTTGGTAATCGTAGGTACAGTTCTAGTGTGATGAAGCAAGCCACGCGCTCTACCTTACCACTATAGTACACTTGTAGTAGTTGATATACGTACTTGTACACAACATACACATCCATAAACCTACCAATCGTGTTGACTGAAAAAAACTGAATTCCCTTTGTGAATTTTCAACCTTGATCGATTTTAGCGGCTAAGTAAGTTGTACTAATTGACATCGACCTTCGCCGCCAACGTCAAGTACAGTTTGGAGAGGCTTCGCTCTGATAAGCGTTGGAAGCGTCATGTTTACGTTAGTATGGATGCCTACACCACGAGCGCTTAAATTGCATTTCAATTGCCTGCGACAAAGTGTTTTGCGATGGCGTGCGTCCGACCTCGTTGCGGGTGTAAGGACGGATTGCGTCGAAAATACAGGCAATTGTCGACATAGCACTCGCATGTGGCCGTGGGTGTGTTGTTCCCGAAGTTTTCTTCGAAGCAGCGAATCTTGAAGTCCATTCAGTCTTCTCAGAAGCTTGTTTTGTTCAGACTACTCGTGTTCGTGATTGATTTGTCGGGTGGAAGCAACCGTGGCCGATTGAGCACTCTTGAGCTCGGCGGTGTCCAAGCCGTGGCATTGCCCAGTGCCAAGTTCACTGTGCATTTCGGCCGTGGATGCCTCCATTCTACGAGCAACTTTCAACAATGCCGCCGCGTTTACTGTACTTGCGCCATGTAGCCGCTCCTCGTTTCAATAGCAAGCTCTTCGGGATAAACTTTTGCATGTGTCGCGTTCGCTCGTGCAATGATGTCTTGTGCGACTGTTTCGAGTTTGTCGTTGCTTGATCTGTTTGACTTCGCTTCACACCTACCTTCGACTCGTCCAACAAAGTCATGGTCGGCACCAATCGCAGCTGTTCATGGGCCATTTTTTCCAGTCGGTCCTGATATCATTGCTTCATTTGTGTGGTGCGAGCGCAAGCATGGATGGCATGATTGGCCGTGAGCTCCAACAACAGGTCTGCGTTGTCTTGGCCCAGCACTAAAACTTGCGCCTTGAACTGAGCCACTTCTCGTTCCAGCTGTTCGAACTCAGCGGTAATGTTAAACGTCTCGAGCTGCGTGCGAACCTCCGATAGAACTGCCGTGTCTATCTCGTGCAGTCGACTGGCTTCTGCTTTGAGTGTCTCTATTTCCCTGGCGTGGACAACCAAGTGGTCTTCCTACACGGCACGCTCATGTGCGGTGGTGCCTTGTCGTTTACTAGTATACCGGCCTTCAGTCATCGTTTACAGTACATATACATTCACCACACCGACACCGGCAAACTTGGACGTTCTCGACCCCACAAAGCAAGACCAACACAATTGACCTCTGTAACGTTAGCTGGGATCCCTAGGGATACGAATAGCCCGCTTCATACTTGCGTTGACTGTATGTAGCCGCCATATCAGGACAGTGGCGCTCGTGCAAAACGAAAAAATGACCAACAGAGTTGCTGAGATGCCCACCACCAATGCGGGCGGAAGGGCAGATCCGACTGCCAGCTCTCGTGCATCATTAGAGAGGTTTCGCAACTCATCTTTACATTACCCTCATCATCACAATCTCGACAAATATCGTTTTCAGGACAATGATAATGACAAAATAATTTACGTTTCGCAACTTATCCTCATCCGTGTCATTGCACTGCCTCCGGTTAAAGAAGTTATTCGGATATATTCGTTGGGTGTTGGTGTCGCCACATTGCGACCATGTCAATCACACAGCGTAACCTCATGGAGCTTGCCCCCTTTGCCAAGACAGCGCGTCAACGAGCCACCCTACATGCACTGATCGCTGCATATGTCATCGAAAGACCACTCATTCCAGCCATTCGCTTCAACCTCGACGCAACAACGAATGCCACTGCCATCCTCGACTATCGCTTTGACATCGCTGGTGTGAAGGAGTTGGGTTTTGTTCTGGGTTTACCTGCTGTCATCATCACACCCAAACGCGTACGCGTACACCGAGAAGAGGCCATGTGTGTGTTGTTGGGCCGTTTGGCGTTTCCTGTGCGGTTCCACACCATGACAAAGACCTTTGGCCGATCACGCTCCTCTCTGTGCGACATCTTTTTACACCTCGTCAACGAATTGTACGCTCGGTGGGGATCGCTGTTGTTTTTTAACAAGAAGTTGGTCGCCAAAAATATTGATCGCTACTGTGCTGCCGTGGCGTCCAAGGGAGCGCCACTTTCGAACGTATTTGGTTTCATCGACGGCACAAAAGTCCAAACATGCCGCATTACGGCAACGGGGGACGGCTCAAACCTGCAAAAGCAAATCTACAGCGGGCACAAACGTATCCACTGTCTCAACTACCAGGCCGTCACTGCTCCGGATGGTATTTGCGTGCACTTTTTCGGTCCCATCGAAGGTCGGCGTCACGACACCACCATGCTGCGAGAGAGCGGGCTGCTAGAGTACCTCGGTGAAAATCACAGCG